AAATAAAAACATCCCTTGAGTTTTCTAAGAATCATAAAAACCTCCCCTATAATTTAGAAAAAATATATAGTTACATTTCTTCCATCATAATTCCAAATGAAAATTGATATTTCCCTTATATCTATCAATTCAAATATAAAATTACCAAAATACCCAAATTGCCTAATAATTGAGAATCAGAGGTGGCAAAGAAAATCAAATGAGGATGGGAGTGTTTCAGCAATCTTCTTAGGCCCACTTGGTGAAGGTGACTCTCTCAGGCCTGAGATTTTTGTGGCTTTGGAAGGAATCCAAAGAGTTTGTAATTGAAGGTGATTTGGAGGTGGTAGTAGGTTGGTTAAAAGAATACAAGGATGGAATGTGGAGTTACAACAATGAAAGAAAAAAAAAATCAAGTGATTGGTTGAGGACATTGAGATAAAGTACAGTTGGGTGAAGAGATCTACTAACTCAGTAGATGAGTTATCCAAGCAAGGGGTGCTTAGGGATTCTTTGTTCTGGGCTTATTTTTTTTAGTTCTGTTTTTTTTTTTTTCAAGTTACAGCAGAAGCTTTTCATTCCTATTTTAAAAGCCTTTACTCTAAGGAAAGACCTTGTTGGTATTTCTTGAGTAGATGGGAAGTCCTGACCCGACCATTAAATAAGAAATCTTGGTTGGAAAGAAGTTTTGAAGAAATAGAGATCAAAGAGATAGTTTTTAGTATGGATGGAGATAGGGCTCTCAGGATGAATTTCCGTTATTCTTCTATCAAAAGTGTTGGGACATTGTTAAAGAAGATTTGTTAGAGTTTTTAAGGGGCCTTCACTCCTCTACCATTGTAAAGAAAAAGTCATAATCTCAACTTTTCTTTGTCTCATTCCAAAGAAGGGGGAATTTTGGAGGTCATGGACTTTAGACTAATAAGCTTGGTAGGGAGCACTTACAGAATCTTGTTCAAAGTGCTAGAAAGAAGGCTTAAAGAAGTCTTAGGAGATCTGATTTCCCTAAATCAGTTTGCTTTTATCAAAGGAAGACAAATTGTGGACAATATTCTAATTGCAAATGAATGTGTGGAAGACAGAAAAGCTTCTCAAAAGCTGGGGTTCTAGTCAAATTAGACCTTGAAAAAGCATATGATAAAGTGGATTGGAACTGTATTTTAGATTACTTAAGGATGAGAAGATTTGACAGTAGATGGATCCGGTGGATTAAAGGATGCATCAGCTCTTCTTGGTTTTTAGTGCTACTAAATGGAGAACCTAAGGGCTATTTCAAGGCTAGCCGAGGGCTCAAATAGGGTTGTCCACTCTCTCTTTTCCTATCTTTAACTTTTTGACAAAGCCAATTAATCTCCTAAATCTGGTTAAAGGATTTGAAGTGGGGAGAGATTTGGTTTATATCTCACACTTACAATTTGCTGATGACATCATCTTGGTCTTGGATGCCTCCATAGAAAACATCTCAAATGCGAAAAGAGTAAGTAAATGCTTTGAACTAATCATTGGTTTGAAGGTTAACTTCTATAAAAGTAGCATTGTAGCCATAAATTCAGTATAAGAGGACTTACTAGAGAACTTCAAATCTGTGTTTGAATGTGAAGTGGAAAATCTCCCTATTTCCTATCTAGGGATGCCTCTTGTAGGAAACCCAAGAACCTTATGTTTTTGGGGGCCGGTGGTGGAGAAGTGTRAAAAGAAACTAACATCCTAGAAGAAGTGCTACCTCTTAAAAGGGGGAAGATTTTCCCTTTTAAAGACCTCCCTAGCAAATTTGCCAATCTACTACACCTTTCAGTCTTCTAAATTCTAACTAAAGTGAGAAACCTAATAAAGAAACTCCAAAGAAACTTTCTGTGGAATGGAGGAAGGGAGAAAAGAAACCATTTAGTAAGTTGGTATCAAGTTTGCAAGCCGAAGGAGGAAGGGGGATTGGGAATTGGGCATCTAAAAGAAAAAAATACCTCTCTTCTGGGTAAATGACTATGGAAATTCGCTGTTGAATGCAATGCTTTTTGGGCAGTTGTCATTACAAGCAAATATAGATCAAGTACAAATGGCTAGGATAGTAAACTCCATTTGAACCGAGTAAAGTCAGCAAATCCTATGAAAGGTATATTCTCCTCAAACTCTTTTTTCTTTCCTTTCATTAGATATAAAGTGGGGAATGGTTATGGTTCTAAAATAAAATTCTGAAAAGACCTTTGGTGGGGGAATTCCTCCCTAGCATCCTCTTCCCCTAGACTCTTTAACCTCTCCCTAGACCAAGACTCAACTATTTATTCTTGTCTTCCTGCCTTTCTATTGTTAATGACCTAAACCTACACCTTAGAAGACCCTTAAGGAACCTAGAAATATCAGATCTTGTGGCTCTCCTCCAAACCATTAAAGAATTCTACATCTCCCCCCTTTCCCCTAACACTCGAGTGTGGACCCACCGCGCAAATGGCAAATTTTCTTCCAAGTCTTTATTCAAGGCTCTAATTATAGGTAGACTTGTTCATGGGTTAGGCTGGGTTGGGTTTTGTCTTTGTATTAACAAATATACTTAGGCCCGAGCTCGAGCCCGACCAGAAAATTGGAAAAAGATTTGTTTTCTTTTTTATTCAGTAGAAACTGTTTTGTTTATATTAAAAGACCTCAAAACCTAAAAAATAATGAAAGATCTCAATATTACTTGAAAAAAGAGAAGAATAATAAAAAAAAGTATTATATACTTTATTATATAAAATATATTTTTATTATATAATAAGTCAGGCTCGAGCTCGAGCTCAGGCCGGGCTTTTTTGAGAAAGCCCAAGCCGAACCCGAAAAAAGGTTGGGCCCGATGTTTTAGGCTCGAGCCTGAGCCTATGGGCCTGAAATCCTGTCCAAGCCCGACTTAGATCGAGCCGGGCCGTCGGGCTACTCGGCCCATGAACAGGTCTAACTGTAGGTGAGCAAAGCTCCTCTTTCCTATACAAAAAGATTTGGTGTAGTCACATTCCACCAAGAGTCTGTTTCTTTGTCCAGGAAGTGTGCCTATAGAGAATAAACACATGTGGTCTCCTTGAGAAGAAGAGTTTGAGAATACTTTATATTTCTCCTCATGCTTTTTTTGTTATGACTGAGAGAAGGGGAATCAGCCAATCACTTACTTATCTACTGCAAACTCACTCAAAAGATCTGGTTTCACTTCTTAAGCTTGTCTGGTTACAATTGGGTTAACCCAAATCACATTCTGGACTTCCTACATCAGTGGCAAGAAACAGGCGTAAGTAAAAGAGGCAAAGTTCACTGGCAAATAGTCAGTAATGTGGGGAGTCTGGGAGGAGAGAAACAAACACTTGTTTGACAACAAGATCAGATCCCTCGAAGAGTTAATCTCAGACATTACCTATCTCTATAATCTATGTGCTACTAATTCAGAGCTGTTCCAAGGTCTCTCAACCAATGACCTTAACAGAAATATTCATACTATTCTGTTCATTCCACACTTCCCTCAAACTATCTTGAGACAGCCGGTACTTTTTAGTGAAGGAGGGATGACTTTAAACTTCGATGGAAGTGCTGTAGGCAAATCCTGGTTTAGCTGGAATTGGGGGTATCTTGAGGGACGAAAGGAGTAGTATCTGATGGGTCTTCAGTGGTCCAATTGGCTTTACTGATTCAAACTAAGACTGAAGTATTGGCTGCTCTCACTGGAATCGGAATAATAAAAAGCTTGGGTATTCAAAACTTATCTATTGTAGGAGATTCAGCAAAAGTCATTAAATGTCTAAGGAACAAGGAGGGGGGGTCCTTGGAGGTTGAGTCATTATTTGGCAGAGGCAAGGGATTCCCTGGAATGTTTAAATGCAAACCTACTTTGGATCCCGAGGGAGTAGAATCCCATTGCAGATGGCTTAGCTAAATTTGGTGCTCGCTTAATTAGAGAACCTGTATTCCCTTGTTTTGTACATCTTTCTCATGTACTCCTTTTAATGGAATTTGGTTAAACTTTCCTCAAGTTAACATGAGCCTCAGAAGTCGTGTTCACAAATACCTCCATCTCCATAACAATCTTGGCATATTGCGTTTCATGTAGCCATGATGCGCTGTGAGGTGGCGTGAGGAGCGCTCTGTGAGTAATATCCGGATTTGTTTTATATGGGTATTGGTGTCATGTGGCCATGGTTCCTTGATTGTTGTTGGAAATTTGGAATATCTCCCCGTGAATGACAGCAGACCAAATCCCCAGTGGTGATTGAAAGTTGATGTCCTGAAAGAAGTAGACTTCTCTGTTTGAAGTAACTAACCTAAGCCTAAGGGGACAATACAATGTCAATGACAAATTGAACAAAGCGCTTCTTGCGGTTGTCATATGCATCCTCTGTTTGATGACTCCTAACGTTCTAATTTCTCTGTACATATAAATGAAAACATCTAGCCATATATTTTTGCTTTGTAAGCATCTTACTCATCTGTAGCTTTCCTCTCTCTCCAAAAAAAAAGAAAAAAGAAAAAGAAAAATCTGTAGCTTTCCATTCATTGATTAGCATTTCGGTTTATTTTAAAGCCAAGATGAAATTAGGTGGGTTTCGTGGAAGCTGGAAGGTCACCCTCGTTACGTGGAAGCACATGGCGTATTTTGTCTCGTCTGTGATAGAGAGGGGCAAGAGGTTTCATTTCAACTTTCAAGCTTCTGCCACATCTCATTCCGCTGCAATGGAGCCCAATACAACAATAATGAAATAACCCAGACACCCATTTAGTTCACGAATTTCTGCAGAGCTTACAACAATAAGCAAGGAACCATTCAGAAGGAATGGATTTTATGTCATTCTCTCCTATTATTTTCCTGCCCTCTTACTGGTAAAAGTAAAATCGAGGCGAGTGCCGCAATTATATGCAATTGATCCAATCCCACGGGAAAATGATGACAAGTTTAACCAATGTGTTCGCATTTTACTGGAGGTCAGGTCACTGAAGTATTCTGCGAGCTCCAAAGTACAAACAGTCTTCATTATCCGTGCAGGTGGGAGAAGGGAGAAGAAGCAGAGAAATAACAGTATGGCCAGATCTTTGTGAAAATACTCAGTAGACAGATATTAAGTTAATAATTCTTAACAATTAGTCAAATTAGACTCTACAGGACCATGATTTGGCAAAGGATATGTCCCTCGATTCAGTGGAATGGTGAAACAGGATTCCCCTATTCACCTCTGTTTCCATCACACTTTTCTGAGTCGAGTAAGAAACTTCTGCTGATTGGGTCCTCCTTGAAACAGTCGCTTGAACCTTGGAGACAGCAGAGCGCAATCTGCATAAACAAATAATCGGCTTTCCTCAGATCGAATCATCAGAAAAAGAAAAGGAGCAACTAGAAGATCCTTGGAAGACTCTACTGACTGCCGGCGATGAATGAGCTGCTGTTTCGCCCTTGGATATGTCAGCCTCTGAGTTTACATTCTCAACGTGCCGGATCTCCTTGAGCATGGCAACGACATCCTTCATCGTAGGGCGATCATCCGCTCGGGTGCTGAGACACAGAAATGAGACTGCTAGTGTTTGAAGCATCTCGTGTATCTCGGTGTCAGTCCGTCCTTGAAGCCTTGGGTCGAGTATGTCGACGGGGTCACGCTTACTGTGTAAATGGTCTCGGACCCATTGAACTAAATGTGCACCGCCGGGCAAGGTCGGATCTAGTGGGTGTCTCCCTGTCAGGACCTCGAGTAGTACCACACCAAAGCTGTAGACGTCACTCTTCTCCGTGATACGTTGCATGGATGCATGCTCTGGAGATGCGACCATAGTTGTGTGAGACTCAAAGCCAGAGAGATAAGACTGTGTGTGAGGAGGAGAGGAATAATAAGGTCTAAAATTAACCTCTAAAGTCTAAACACAATTAATTAGAAGCAAAGGAGAAGAGAAGAGGACTAATCGTCATAAAAATCATAATAATATACCTGGGGCCATGTACCCATAAGATCCAGCAAGCTGAGGTTTCACACTCAATTTATTGGAAAGTTGGTCATGACCAGAATCAGATGCATTCACAGGTCTGGCTAACCCGAAATCGGCCAAGTATGGCTGGAAGCTAGGACCCAATAACACGTTCATGGCCTTCACGTCCCCGTGCAAGATGGCAGGGACACAGTCATGGTGCAAGTAGGCAAGGGCATATGCCACTCCCAACACCACATCATACCTTGCCTCCCAGTCCGTTCCGCCCTTCCCCGCGCCGTGGAGGAGCGCGCTCAGGCTTCCATTTGGGAGGTAGTCGTAGAGCAACAATTTCATGCTTCCATTCGAACACCACCCCAACAGCCTCACAATGTTCCGGTGTCTGATCCAACCCAGCGTCTGAATCTCCGACTCGAATGCCCCCGACCCCGGTTGCTCCTTCTCCTGCTCCGACGACCACATTTTCTTTACTGCCAATGTCTCCCCATTTGACGTTTCCACCCTGTAGACTACTCCCGAACTCCCGGTACCAATTACGTTTGCCGACGTCAGATTCCGGACGACATCATCAATGCGGAARTCGAGCTTCTGATAGAGCGTAATCTCCCATGTGCCATCATTCTCTGGATTCCCAAAGTTACCCACACGAGCTCGTACCAACACGTATACTGAAAGTAACAGTAGTACAGCACTAGCGCTGACTAGGACAGGCATCACTAGCTTCATTGCTGATTTGGCGTGCCTGTTGGGACCCATATGGCCGGCGGGAACCACCACCCCACCGGAGACGTAGAGTGCTCGATTCCCAGTTAGATCGCTCAGCGGGAGTTTCCGGAAGAATGGTGTGTTGGGCAATTCGCCAGAGAAACGGTTGAAGGAGATGTTGAGGGCAACGAGGTTTTGAAGGCTAGCAAGCATGTCTACGTTTCCTACCAGCTCGTTGTGGGAAAGGTCAAGGATTGCGAGCTTCTCAAGACCAGAGAATTGGGCTGGAATTTCACCTGAAAGGTGGTTGCAGCTGAGATTGAGAGAGATCTCGAGCGCAGGAATCTGGACCAATTCCTTCGGTATCTCGCCCGAAAAGCCATTGTCACCGATATCTATTAACTGTAGCTTACTGCAAGATGCCAACTCCGCTGGAATTCTACCAGAAAAGCTGTTCTTGCCAAGAATTAGTTTGGTCAATTGAGTCAGGGACCCAATGCTTGGAGTTAACGGCCCTGTTAGCCTATTATCTGATATATCGAGAAACTGAAGGCTTTTTGGCAATTTTTCCGGCACAGAACCAGTAAGACCATTGGAATGGAGGTCCAGAAACTCGAGGTTTTCACATCCAGAGATTGACAGAGGAATTCCACCAGAAAACCTGTTATTGCTCATGTCCAGGAAATTCAGCTTCTTCAACTTCCCAATCTCGGCTGGAATCGCACCAGCGAGCCTGTTGCCATTTATTCGGAAACGATACAAGTTTGTGCAGTTTCCAATATCCGGTGGTATAAAACCAGATAAATCATTAGATATGAGCAGAAGCTTCGTGAGATTTCTCAATCCAAATATGTGTTTCGCTATTGGTCCGTAGAGTTGGTTGTATGATAGATCAAGAGCCTGAAGATTCTGACATTCCGCAAGACTCTCTGGGATATTTCCCGTGAGCTTATTCTGCCATGCGAAGAACAGGGTCAAGCTCTTTAGTTTGCCTATAACTTCTGGAATCTCACCAGACATGTTGTTGTTGTCGACTTCGAGGTGTGTTAGAGCTGTGCAATTAGAGATTTCAATGGGTATCGTACCTGTCAACTGATTAATGCTCAATTGAAGCTCCTGAAGCTTCAGGAGTTTTCCAAAACTTCTCGGTATGCTTCCTGACAACAGATTCTCCGATAAATCCACGATCAACAGCTCTCTACATCTCTCGAGCTCATCAGGGATCCTACCCACCAGGCTGTTCTGCCACATCAGTAGATTTTGAAGTTTGCTCAGCACCCCAAGTCGTTTCGGGATTGACCCTGAAAGCGAATTCTGATACAAGTACAGGTTCTGCAATTTGCTGCAGTTTCCAATCTCTTCTGGGATAGGACCGGACAAAAGAGTTGTGTAAATTGCAATGGTTTGGATATTCTTCAGTGAGCCGATTGAAGGAGGAAGACTTCCTGAAATGCTGGTTTCTGCAAGACCCAACATAACCAAATTACTGCAGTTCCCAATCTCTGAAGGCAGCATCCCTTTGAGATTTTGATTCCCGCCTGCTCGAAAGACCTCTAGCTTGCTTAATTTTCCTATACTCCTCGGAATTGCACCACTAAGTCGATTGTCATAGAGGGTGAGGTTCACAAGGCTCGATAGGTTTCCAATGTCAGAAGGAATGGCGCCTTCCAGCAAATTCGAACTGAGAGAGAGACTTCTGAGCTTGCTTAGCCTGCAAATTTCGACTGGAATTTCGCCAGAGATAGCATTGTTGCTGACATCGATGAGATCCAACTCTTGATACTCTCCAAACTGTTTTGGTATCGGGCCTGTAAGATTGGTTTCTGAGAGGATAAGAGTCTTCAAAGACTTGAGAGATTGGAAATTTGAAGGTAATGGGCCCTGCAAATCTACTGACTTCAAACTTATCTGGATGACTTCGCCATTTGCATTGCAAATGATCCCATACCAGCTGCAAGGGCTTGAGTCCGAAGGATTCCATGTTCTGAGTGCGTCCTGAGAGTTGTTTAGGCTGCTTTTCCATGTGAGAAGAGCTTGGCCCTGCTCATCAATGGAGAAACAAGTAAAGAAGAGGGAGTTAACTGAAAGAAGGAATGTGATAGAGAAGACATTGGGGAAAAGGAAGAGGTTCTTTTGATTTGCAGGCATTGCTGATGGGAGAAAACAGGTGATCGGTTTTGGGATTGTAGAGGGGTGAACCCCATGTTTTGTTTATAGAAGAAAAGCAGAAGATCTAGATCCAAATGCAACTTTTCCATTCCAATATTATTTTATTTGTTAATCGAGAAACTGTGATGCAGATGGGTTTTTGGTTTAGTTTATGAAGATGTCTTTTCTGGTTTCTTTGTTTTCTCTTGTCTAATTCATGGGCTGGTGCAGATGGCTTGTGGTTTGCGTATAACTTAAAGGCTGTGGCGGAAGGATTGGATGGTCTTTAAACTTCAAGGCAGGTTCTTACTTTTTACTTTTTACTCTCTCTCTCCCCCCAAGTTCGAAACTATTTTTACTAACTTTGTTGTTGTTGGGTAGGCTAGGCAAAGCAAACCAGAGTTGTTTTAACTTGAAATTAGATTGCTATTTTGTTAGATTAAGTGATGGTATGGAGTATAATGCTTTGTTTAAGCAAAACAGAGTTGGAACCAAGAAAATGAATCGGAGTATAATGCTTCTAAGACCCTTTTTAACTCAATGGACAATCTCTATCTCTCATAAGTTTAAACGGGGGATTGCAGAATGATCCAGACTCTCTGAGATGACTACCATTTATCATATTCCATGTTGCAAGAATGAATTAAGGGAGGCCCCATAACCATAATCAAACCACTGATGATGATTAATGATTCCATTATGTGTTTCCCATTTACCCTTTTTTAAGGAATTGGTTCTGGCTGTAAATTGCAAAGAAAATAGAAAGCAACATCTACTACTCTAATATGAATTAAGCTCAAAGTTAGGGATGTATAAAAGAAAAAGAAATGGACCTTGGTTCTTGCTTGTTGTTTTTACGGCATATATAGATGACGAAGATATATATTATGGTAAGTTTATAGCTGGTGAGTATATAAGTGAATAGGATTAATAATAGAGAGGTGCACATGGAAGTGAGGAAGAAGCAAAAACGAGCTATTGTAAATTGCAAATCTGGTATCATGTTGTCGGGTGGCCTTGGATCGATGTAATTGTAAAGAAGAAAGGGACAACCACACCACCATGAGGAATGAACTTAATTAATCTACATTATTATATCATTGCCAGTTTTCATGTATTAATTATTTATGGGTTCAATTATGATATGGGAAAGATACGATATCTGAAAATTTTCTGAACAATCAATTGGAATCATATATGTGATAGCCAATCAGGTGCTATTTATCAAAATTCATGGGTGGATTTTGATTGATCAGTACTCTTGGGATACCATGTCTTTCCCGTATCATAGATTTTTCCATTATATATATATATATATATATAAGGCATTTACTTAAATATAATATAGTATTTAGCATATTGGAAGATGGATTCGATAGATAGACAGGCCCAGCATGTTCCCTCATGTTTTGGGTCGTGATATCACGAGTCTAATCCGATCTCAACATTTTGAAGAAATAAAAAAAAAAGAAAAGAAAAGCAAGGCATCCAAACTTGTTAAAGAAAAAAAAAGAATTAAAACTTGGGGTTATTAAAAGAAGGGTCTACAAATTGGAGGGGACCAACATTTATTTATAATCTTGTTTTTATTAGGTAGACGATAATGGAGACACCATTTTCCTCCAGTCATATACCCTTCTGGCTAACGCTTACTGTTAATATTTATATTTTGGCCAATATATATGTTGATAGGTACTTAACAAGCAATTATAATTATAAGGGAAAAGAGGGAAAAAAAAAGTTACAAAAGAACAGAAGGACCCAAGCCAAAGATGATGAAGAAACGTGACAAACATAACATTGCAAGGAAGAAACAAAAGCTATATCCAAATTACAAAGCAAAAACAATTAAAAAGATATTTATTAAATTTGTATACTGAAGGGACGAAGAATTGCTTTGTTTAAAAACAAAAAAAAAAAAAAGAAAACTTGGGTTGCAATTGGTTGTTAAGAAAATTATTGAAATTGGGGAAATGGAAAAGTCTAAAATGCTTTTCAAGGATTATTTTCTTACTTCTCCAAACGCAACCTTAGACCTTAGTGTTGGAGCTTGACTTATTGAGAGGAGGAGGGGGGGCACATGGTGTCGCAGCTTATTTTATGAATAAGAGGGTATTAATATTATAGGATAAAAAGTAAAATAAAATTAATATAGAGTCAAAGTAAGTAGTGAGTAGTGAGACAGACACCTCACGCTCACGCACATGAGAGGAAGTGGAGACRCTTATGCTTTAAGATTAGTTTAATGTGTTCTACTTTCACCAAAGTCCCACGTTATACCACCCCATGTTGTCTTTCTTTTTTTAATGACTAATGTTTGTTCTCAATCGTCTACATGCACATGACGAGAGAGAGAGAGAGCGTTGAGGTCCGAGGGAAGAGAATGTCCAATAACATCATTTAGAAAAGGGTACGTGGTGGAGCGAGGGGAACTCCAATCCTCCATCAGATGACAACTCCATATATCAAAACTTTTACAAAAATGCATTATATGATTTTAATTTCGAGTATCTAATCTCTTTAGAATTTTATTTGTTCTAATTCAGTTTTATTAAGTTTATTATTGGGTTATAASTAAATTCATTCTTAGGATACAATAGATGTTTAGGTGAGAAAATTAAGTGAAAATTGTGTGTTTAATTCGGTTTGGTTTACATCCTTTTATAGATTCTAGATAATCGCCTTTGAGAAAGAATGTGTTGGTTCGAAGAAGCTCTTTGTATAGTCATTTTGTGACTATTCACAATTAAATTAACAGTTAATGATTGTTAATGTTTGAATAATGTCCTTTGATCACACTTTTCAAATGTGATTTTTCCAAGTCACAATTTTCAAATCACAAGCCGCAACTTGTATTTTTTATGATTTCGCAAATGACATAAATTGCAATTTGTGATTTTGCTCAATGACTTATGATTTTACAAAATTTGCAATCTACCAATTTTGCAGAATCATCTAATTATGATTTGTGATTTGGTAAGGTCAGCTAATTATAGTTTCTGATTTTGCAAAATCAACTAATTGCGATTTGTGATTTCGCAAAATCAACTAATTGTAATTTGCAATTTCACAAAATAACAGTCTGCAATTTAGTGCATTTCAAATTTCTCATCGCATCAGGTGTCATCACACTAAAATTATAGCCACTTCATGTGGACCACATTGGTACATGTGAAGTGTGAGTAAAATATGCCTGTAATGCACCTCATTGTGCTGCTGCACACGCATACACGCACGTAATATATACTCTCCTCTATCTAATTCTAACGAGTGCAAATAGACTCCTTCAAAGCATCAAAAAGTTTTATTGAAAATTTTAAAACTAATTTTCAAAGTGCAAGTTTAAATATTCTTTATTACATAATTAATCAATCAATCACTCCATCGATTTAATCTCTATCACTATCGATATTGAAGTCCAACAGATGACAAACTCCACGGACCAAATATTTTTTACAAAAATGCATTGGTACTTCAGAGGCTTAGTGGGACGGAATGAGATCTGCTCCTCACACATGGGCACCTCACAGGCACATCCACTTTGCATTGAAAACATTTCCCATGAGTAATACTTATAAGTATGGGAGATGTTCCCAATAGGATGTGCGTGTAAGATTGGTGTGAGGTGCCCTGTGTGAGGAGTAGATTCCATTTCTAGTGGGACCATGGTTTTTAAAAATGAAACCGGTCAAGGGTCCGGTTACTAATTCGAACGGTTAGAACGGTCAAAACCATTTGAACGATTAATCGGCCGATTCAGCAATTTGCTGACCAAAATCAACAATTTTAAAGGAAAAAACGGTTTTGGAGAAAAATGGAACCGGTCAAGTGACCAATTCCCGGTTTTTCCGGTCCAACCATCCAGTCCGGTCCGGTCCGATTTTGAAAACAGTGAATGGGAAACAGTAAGGGAGTTTTCCTCTGCTGAAAAGCTACCCTATCGGCTGTCATCACTTGCTTCATGGGCTTCTACTATTTCCTTCCTGGTTGTTTGGCCAATGGAATATTACAGATGAGATGGTGTAAGTCCTTGAACTGGTTCGGATTTTAAAAGAGATTACTTAGTGGGGAGGGACCGTCATCCGATGGGACATAATCACATGGGTTTTGTTACTTTGTATGATAATAATTGATAAAGAGGGAAATTAATCCTTATGAAAATGATATATCATTTGGGTACCTTAGACTTATCCTTAATGGTTTGAGAATTATGATAACCTCTTCCGACCACAAATTTTAACCTTGAAAGAATGTTGTCTTTTGCTTTATCTGTAGCAGAGGGACTTTAATAACTTTATTGGAGCTAAACAACCCAGATTTATTTCGCTAAGTGGGAGGCTCTTTTTTCTATTTAACATTAATAGATTCCATCTTTTAACCTAATCCATACAACTTGCCAAAGTCCATAATGACTTACTTAATCTATGTGTTCAAACTTCAAACTTTACTTAAAGCTCAACGGCTGGATCCACAACAACTACATAAGTGGGGCTATAGATGTCTCTCCGACTAAGTGGACCCTGGCCCTGGCTTCATCGTAGTTTGCGATTACATTTACATAATAAAAGATAATGTATAAGTTGATTTCAGGAACAAAAGAAAAAAAAAATACAGAGAATATTTGGTTAAAACATTTGCTGCATGGTAGAAATTAAGATGACCATGTGTTTAACGTGTTTTCTTTTTAAATATKGAATGAAAGTTTTCACATATTTTACAAGATATATATATATCCTTCTTTTTGAAATTTTTATTGGATGTTTTCTATCTTTTTTGTCTAAGCATACAGCGTGTATAGAAAGGGCATATATGTCTTTTATTTTCACTTCAGAAATTGTCCACTTATAACTGTTCAGAAACTTGTCACTTTAATTAATTTTTTGGATAAATGAATTATAAAAGTGGTCATGAATTATATAAATAGTTTTGTCTTAAAGATATTGTCACGTGCATATGCAAGTACATGTTTACTAGATATAGATATTACAGGAAGTTTCCAATGCTGCTGCTGCTACTAGTATTGAGATGCATTTGAATAAGGTTGTGTCTATGTGTAATTCGCTACCTAATCAATCATGAATCAACACGCTGGTATATATTCCATACAAGAGCTGCGAGTAGCAAGATTCGTTAACGCTGCTTGTTGCAGAATCGACCTCCATTAAAAACCAC